CAGACACAATAATAATAATAATAATAATAATAATAATAATAATAATAATTAATTCTTCATCATCATCATCATATTTTTGAAGAACATTTATCTTTATGCAACAATGGCTTATGGTAGAAAATTGTGTGAAACACTTCCCTCTTTAAGCTTTCCCTAAGACTAGAAAAAAAATGCTTGGATTGAAAACAGGCTTCTTCAAGAATTATCTTGAAATGTATTTTTCATGTTCTTTCTTTATGCCATCTTAAATTTTATGTTTGTCCCAAGAACAACTCTTCTTCCTAGTCTTGATTTAGGGGAGGAAGACCAGGGAAGAGAGATCTGCATGAAAAGGTTTTTCATATCCATGCAACTTAGCCACACTTTAGCTTAGCTAGTCATTAAGGACTGATACAGGACCATGCTGGAAGATTTCAACCTCATTTTTATGGAATTCAATAACTTAGAACAAGCTTAGATCAATAACTTCAATTAATCTTAGAACAGCTTAGAAGGGAAGCTGGTAACGCAAACCCATTTTCATTCTGAATGCCATCAAATCATACTCAGAAAGATTCAGTCAACCACAGCTGCCTGAAAAAGCCCATATTTCTAAACACGTGTGTCCCATTCACACTTTAAAAGATTACATCAACAACTAAAAATGTACTGGGGGTAGAGTGGGAGTTAAGGCTTTTGACACTTTTTTTTGCACATGACTTGCCTTGTTTAAATCACATGGAGTTGTTTTCCTTTAAATATAAACTTTTCTGGAATATACCTACTGGCCTTGTAGATTCTGTAACCCTGACAAAAGTTGACAAAGGAATCTTGGCCACTAGCATCCTTAAAACATTAAACATGGAAAATACAGGACTTTTCTTTACCAAGAGCTTTGTTGATCCCATGATGCTTTGCAAGAGCCATCAGAAATCCATAGAAAGTCAATCTCTGTACACTGCTTAGAATTTCCTTGAGAACAGTGGCTGGGGGGTAGCTGGGCAAACAAGGAAACAAGAAAAACATTACAGATCAATGTCTGTGAATTATCTTCCTTTAGACTTATGGATACTGAATGGATTGAATTATCTACATCATGAACCCATCCTCCTAAAATCTGAGAAATGTCTCTTTTTACAATGAATTAGGCTAGTAATCCATGGGCATCCATGATTGTTTTTAACTTGAGAGAATCATGGGAAGAGAAGGTTCCAATGAAAAGCATTTCCCAAGTAGAGTCTCGTTTAACCGACCTTCGCTTATCCGACCTTCCATCTTATCTGATGCCCCTAAAAAAAACACAACACGCATAAATCGGCGACGAGAAAAGTGTGCCGCTTGTTTGCGAGTGTGAGTGTACTCTTTCTTGTTGCTCCTGATGGTGCGGCGCCGCAATGCAAAAATCGATTGCAACAGGCGCAGCAGATTGGTTTTTTTTTTTTTTACCACACTCAATCGTTACTGTGTGTTATCCGACATCTTCACTTATCCGACATTCTGCCGGCCCATTTATGTCGGATAAGCGAGACTCTACTGTACTTTGAATAGCATTCTTCTTCTTCATGTTGAAGGAAACCTAGTTGGCCAGCCAGCAATTAGAGTAGGGTTTGGGAAATTCTGGTATGGTGGCCCAGCTCATTCTATGGGGCTTCAAGAAATGTTCTCCTCTTTCTCAGAGCCCCCCTCCTTATCATTAATGGCTGCCCTGTATTCTACTGACAGGCCATTCAATGCAAGCTTTCCCCAGTGGTCGAACCCATGTGGTAAACAAACTTTCAGAAACCACCCTGTGCTTTCCCTGTTTTTCCCTCAGTGGGAAGACATGGAAAATATGCAAGCTAGTGAAAAATCTTTTCCATTCATTTCCAAATGGGAAAACAGCATCACTTGCAAAAAATAGCTGGTGAGTGGATAAAAAAGGCCATCCTCCACTGGGCAGCAGGCTTTGCTCTTTCCATCTTTGTTTCAGCAGAGCAGCCTTCTTCTCCCCATGCAAGTCAATAGAGCAATTGCTCCATTGCTCTGCATATAGGACAAAATGTGACCTCTTTCTCACTGTATTCTCTATAAATGTATGCATCTTTGTTCTCTATGATTTTTCCCAGTGTTTTCAGGTACTGCATTTCTCCCTTTGTATGTTTTTGGCATGTGCACATGCATGAGAAAATAAGAGAGAGGCCTAAAAGGGATACATTTTCATAGCAGGCATTCTGTGACTATTAGTCATACCCCAAGCCGCAAAGTCATTTGTTGTAATACCATGAAATTTTACATTGTAAATATACTCACAACTGCCCCTTTCCTCCAGAGAGATAAGAGGTCAGTGTTTTACTGTATTGATGCTAAAAAGCAATGTCCTTTTTAAAATATTGCAAATATTGCAAAGTTTTGTCCCCACATTGAAACTGAGTGTTTGGAAGAGCCCTGAATAAACTGAATGCCACAGGCAAGTTGTTTAGTTGTTTGTTCAGATGTGATAGAGACTGCAACTACAAATGAAAAGTCCAACCCCCTTAAGGAGAAGAGTTTGCATAACTACAATTTTAAGCTACCCTTTTAAAATCTCATGCTTCATTCTGTAGGTGACAATTCTAGGCTGTCAGAGCACAGTTAGGACTGGTCAGATGGGGAACAGTGTCCCATGAAATCTTGCCCTTTTCTCTTCTTCACAAATTATATTATTTTCTTGTTTATTTCAACTGCAGCTGAACTCTATTCATTCTAATCGATTTATTTCTTTGAGTCAGTATAGTTTTCATTGTAAATAAAGTGCAGTGGTGGATCACAATGAAATAGTTACCTTTCCATGTGCCTTTTCTCAGAGGAGCCAATAAATTAAATCAATGAATCTGAGAGAACTCCAGAAATCTGGAAGTCAAAATATGTTCACTGATATAAAATTGGGCAGCACCAGTGATAGCTGAAAATGAATTGCATAATACATACAAGGGTTGAAACTCAAACTGCATCAGTATGTTAAACATATGTTAGTTTCAGGAAGTCGAGGAACAGCACAAGACTAAGGATACAAGGCCACATTTCCACGAACCTTTTGTTATGAATTGTTTCTGTTGCCAAAATGTCAGTAAGCCCCTTCCCTACCCCAAGGCAGACAAACAAGATGCAACTTGTTCTTATCAGCCAGCCTTACCTGTATTTGGATTTGTCACACAAAGACTCAAGGCACTGGTAAAATGCAGATGCCTCCACCCCATCGACCAGACTGCACTCACTGAGAGCTTGACGTGAACGATGCTGCCCAGAAGACGACGTGGGCACAATCACAGTATTTGGATTCTTACCCGTCAAGAGCTCTTGATAGATGGCAGCCACATTTTCAATAAACTCTGTTAAAAAATAAAGAAAAGTCACTTATGAGCATACAATTATTAAATATTTAAATAATATTAAATTAAATCATTCAATATTGTAAAATCCACTTATACGCAATTGCTCAAAATCCAATCTGTAAGACTATGTGCTATATAAAAGACTATATTACTATGTAGCTAGTTAATTTTCCTCTAATTATATACTTTGAGATTTTTTGACTGTTCCCAGCATATGTAAGAAAGTGCTGTGAACAAATTTCCTAGTAAATATATAGCCTAGTTGCAAATCGCCCAGAGTCACTTCCTCATGAGATGGGCGGTGTCTAAATTTGATTGATAAATAAGTAAGTAAGTAAGTAAGTAAATAAATAAATAAATAAATAAAAACTACTTGCTATGTGACATGAAAATCACCTAATGATTATCAAAGCTACCTCAAAGGGCCTTTTGGGTGGGCTTCGACTAGCGTTTCAATTATGTAGAATTTTCATTGTGTGAAGAGGAGTAAAAGAGAAGGCCACCCAATCAGTGTGTGTGTGTGTGTGTGTATACACACATACATACACACACATACATACAAACCTCCACAGTCACAGAAATAAACACCATCCAAGTTAGATATTGGCATTGTCGGAGGAGCCAGCAGGGGTGAGTTACACATGCTACACTCAGCAGCCCAGTGTGCTTCAATGCAACTCCAAAGTAAATACAGTATGGTGGTCAAAGGAGACATGAGGAAAGAAACTGGCTGAAAGCATTCTCCTGCAGGCTCCAAAATTTTCCTGCTGTTTACTCCCAGAGTCTAAATATAAAGTTTTTTAACCATCCAGGTCAGCTATGTAGAGATGTAGATTCCACTCTGAGTGGTCTACATGCATGTAGATTGGTGGGTGACCCGAAAAACCTGCTGAATTTGGATAACAACAGAAATGGTATCCAACGGTATTGGTCTGCAAAACTTTGCATGCATGCTTGGAACCTGCAAGAATGTATGTATGAAACAGATAGGTGGCATTTTAATGTGATCCTGATGGTTTGGAACTCTCCAAGGATGAAGCATATTATAAATTATTACTTTTTATTTTCCTTTCCCTTAGTTTGACCTCAAGAATAGCATAGTGTCCCTCATACAGATGACATGATTGCAAAGAGAAAGATGACCTGAGGAAGGGGTTATTAATTGCCATGCAACTGACCCTTGTTTCCAGAGAGAAACAACAGAGAAACTTGTCTTAGGAGTGGCAGCGGAATAAGCTATTTAGCACAGTGCCCTCTCCTAAAAGTGACATGATAATAAACATCTGCACACAATCATCATTATTACATCTTACTCTCAAATAATAAAAAAAACATTTATAATAATTGCCTCTTGCTTTCATTTAGTTCTCAACAGAGGCAAAACTGTTTTTCAGAATAGTCAAGCCTGTTCTGAATATCTGGAATTTCCAACAAAAGCCTAAATGCCTCATGGATAAAAACTACCAGCAGGCTTAGCAAGGCAAAATTCTATGTTTTGTCCTAATACTGTATGCCACAAAAGTTATTTGCTTCTTTCATTTCATTTCTCTTACTTATTCACATATGTACCCAATCAAGGATTTAAAGTAGCAAATAAAGCAAAGGAGTTTTATAGATAACAGGTTTTATAAGTTCAGTTAACTAGATTAGATCAGCTCAGTAGGTTTTATTATAATTTTATATGCTATTTTAAATTAAGTACTTTGTCATTCATTATATGTACATAGATATTTGCTGTATTTTCTCTCTCTCTCTCTCTTGTACTGGTTACTGACTGTAATAAAATTTGTTCAATATGGGAATTTCCTATATGCAGTAGACTTTTCTGAATGATATACAAAAATCACATAGAGTTTATGATATGTGTAGAAACTGATCTATTTACCTGCAATTCAAGGTGCTAGGTAGCTGTGAGTAGTGGCTGCTTTCTAGCATTTGTGTATGCTGACTGATGAAAACAAATTTTGTAAACAAGTTTCAGCTGGATTTGCTCTACCATGGAACAAAGTTCGGGCTGGGGTATGGGACTGAGACGGCATTGATCACACTCTTAGATGACCTCTGGTGGAAGCAGGATGGGGGTAGTGCATCCATCCTTGCTCCTCTTGACCTCTCAGCGGCTTTCAATACCATCAATCATGGTATCCCTCTGGACTGGCTTCAGGAGTTGGGGATGGGCAGCACTGTGTTTTGCTGGTTTTCCTCTATCCCCTGGGGTCAGTTCCAGTTGGTGTTGATAGGGGGGAAGAGATCCAGCCCACGGCCTCTACTTTGTGGGGTGCCCCAGGGCTCAGTTCTCTCTCCTCTCCTATTTAACATCTACATGAGGATGCTGGGTGAGGTGATCTGATGGTTTGGGGTAAGGTACCATCAATATACTGATGATACCCAGCTTTATATCTCCACCCCAGGCCCTTCCGGTGCCAAGGCTCTTTCATCTTTGATCCTGGATGGGGTAGTACTGCCCCAGATGGACCTGGTGCACCATCAAGGGGTCCTCTTGGATTCACAGCTCCTGCTCAAAGAGCAGGTAGCAGCTGTGGCTAGGAGGGCCTTGGCACACCTTTGGGTTATGCGTCAGTCGCATCCATTTCTGGACCGGGGGGCTTTGCTCACAGTCACTCATGCCCGTGTGACCTCTCATCTGGATTACTGCAATGTGCTCTACATGGATCTGCCCTTGAAAAGCATTTGGAAGCTTCAACTGGTACAAAATGTGGCTTCATGAGTAGTAAATGGTCAGATATGTAACACCACTACTGTGTGAGCTGCATTGGTTGCTGACATGTTTCCGGGTGCAATTCAAGGTGCTGGTTGTCGCCTTTAAAGCCCTTCATGGCTTGGGATCAGGTTACCTAAGGAACCGCCTTCTCCCAATAGTTTCTACCTGTCCAGTTCGGTCCAGCGGGTTGGGCATGTTGCAGGTCCCATCAACCAAGGAATGTTGGCTGGTAGGGATCAGGAGGCACGCCTTCTCTGCTGTAGCCCCTGCCCTCTGGAACATTCTCCCTCCAGAGATTAGGATGACCCTGACCCTGTTGGTCTTTCATAAGGCCCTAAAGACTTGGTTATGTGCCCAAGCCTGGGGCCCCATTTCCTGGCTATACTGATAATTATGAGATAATTTTTCTTGGCTGCCATATGCATTTATTTTGTACTGTACTGTAATTGTTTTAATTGTTTTTTATGATTGTTTGCCACCAAGAGTCACTTGGTTGAGATGGGTGACTAGAGAAATTAAAATAAACAAGCAAACAAACAAGCAAGCAAATAAATAAATACTGAGATCCCTTCAGAGTTTTCCAATTTTAACCACTGGTGGAAAAATGGTGCTAAAGCATGTGAGCTTTGCCACCAACATCTCCCATGCAAGCAGGCTCTTCATCTTCCCAATCTTTCTGAGTTTACCAGAGAGGCCCCAAAAGGGTTTGACGAGATTAGAATCCAATCTGCACTCAAGACCCAGCACTATCATTGTGAGGAGACTAATAGAATCAACACGCACAGGGACGCTGGGGATAGGGTATGCTTACAAAAACTCATTTCCCTACTAAGGCCTGGAATCTGAAATACTTAAGCAGAGCTCTAATATTTATGGAGACAGGTCTCCTAAGTGGCAAGGACTATATTTTATAAGCTTAGAATATTTCATCAATCTTTTCTACCTTGCTTCAGTTTACACCCATGCATTACTCCAGTCTAGACCACCATGTTATCTATGTAGTATTACCATCCTTGAATTCTTGCAAACATCAGCCACCGCAGTGGTTGTAGAGTTGCCATGATTATAGGAATTAGCACTAGCATGGGAAAGGCCAGGTAAGATTGTTTAATTATGTGGAGTCCTTGGTGTTCTCTGAGTACATTGAAGATGTTACCTAGTTGGGTAACGAAACACCTGCAAGAAAACAACCAAACTCAGAGAACACCAAGGACCCCACAGTTCAACCCTGAGCTACATATATTCTCTTCTATTGTTTAATCATATCGTAACGACCCCATGTCAGGAGCACTGGCTGCCCTTCATTACTGATTTCAGTTTAAAGTCCTGGCATAACTTACAAAACCTGTAAATCAATCTCAGAGATTCTGTTCTCCAGCTTGCTACCAAAAAGTATTTTCAATGACCATTCCACTCTCATAAAATTTTCACTTAGGTAACCCTATTGGAGTAGACATTCACTCCCCTCATCCTTTTTTTTTTTTTTGGTGCTTAGTATATGTTTTTATCTATGCTGTTATCAGTTGCTTTTAAAGATATTTTTATTGCAAACTGCCTTATGGAGTCTTGCACTAAAAAGAACGGTAGGAATATATTAATTAAAGTTACTCATAAGCACCACCTGATCCAGCATGAAAAATGTATGAAATAATCCCCTGGCTCAGATATACAGAACACAGCTTAACATACAGATTTCTGACAGCACAATTCTTATTGTACAGCAAAATTATCTGGCCAAGGTTGTTCCCAGCACTGTGGTATGTGATCTGTCCGATTACATTAATCAGAGATGTAATAAAGTGGGGTAGACTTGCCTGAGTAGTAAAACTGGATCTGGAAGGCAAACAGGAAGTCTGAAAAAGACATCAAACAGTCCACAGCATCATCCATTAAAACAATCCTGGAATCAAGAAGGAGAGAGCTCAGCAACAGCCAATGTAATGCATAGCAAAGATACAAGGTATTGGAAATGAAGCAGAAATGTTAAGAACTGATAAAGGGAGTCACATTTTGTTCTGTAGCTCCCCAAATCAGCCCCAGAATCTGCTTTATTAAGCCCATCTAATTTTTTCTCCTTAATGCTCTAAGACAATCAAAGGGAAACCCAGAAAGCGTTCAAATGTTATTTTTGTTATTAAGGCATTGCTGTTACTATTCTTTTACTATTCCTAGAAAGTACCACTAAAGGCTGATGGTAGGAACATATTTATTTATTTAACCAACTAGTACATTCAACTGATAGCCAGTGCAGTGACCTCAAGATGGGCAGGATTCTGCAACAGCAGTTCTCCCCAGCTAAGTCTGGTTGCCTTATTCTCTACCATTTTCAAGTCTTCAAAGACAGCCCCTCATAAGGTGCATTGCAATAGTCCAGTCATATGGTGATCAGAATGTAACTCATTGTCACAAGAGCTTCCTGGTCCAGGTAGGGCTGTAACTGGTTCACCAGCTGAAACAGGGCAAAGCCCCCACCCTGCAACCATGCTAAAGTAGGAGCTGTGAATCCAGGAGGATTCCCCAGGTCACAGTCCGGCTCCTTTGGGGAGCAAAACCCCATCAGAAGCAACCACTGGGCTGAAGTTCTTGGATAGCTCAGACTTCACAGATGAACTGCAGTTCCATCTAGGTAGAGTTTAATCTGAGTCTGTTTTTCCTCACCCAGTCCCCGACAACCTCTAGACACCGATTCAAGACTTCCACAGCATCTCCATCTTGATCTGTAATTCCATGTACAACTGAGTGTCACTGGCATATTGATGACATCCCAAACCAACAGATGACTTCTACCAGTGGTTTCATATATGTTAAATAACACACGGGAGTGAACTGAGTCCTATGGCATCCCACAGTGGAGCAGCCAAGAACTTGCCTACTCATCCTCCACAACTACCAACTGGAACCACCCACTTAAGAAGGAATGGAACCATTGTAAAATGGTGCTTCCTATTTCCAAACATTCAGGTGGTCCAGAAAGATACCATGATCAGTAGCATTAAATGCTACCAAGACGTTTGATAGAATGAGGAGGGTGCACTCCTCTCACCCATGTCCAAATGCAATAGAGTGATTAGTGCTGTTTCTACCTTCTTGATTCCTGAAGTCTAGCCCCCACAAGTCTTCTCTCTTGCCCAGACAAATCCTAGGCTACACCCAACATTGTGTGAAAAAGTCCATTCATGTTATTTTTTCCCTTTCTGCTACAGCCCACGATTTGCTCCCCAAATCTGCCCTGTATGATCCCAAACTCTGCAGATACTGGTCAATCTTTTTTCCAGCACACTTCATATATTCATTTTTAAAATTATAGTCATTCAAAAAAGCAATCTAAAGTTTTGAAAACTAGATTTTTCAAGAAGACTGCAGTTATTCTGATGAGTAGAGAAGAATAATCTGCATTTCCTACTGCTTGAGGTGATACTCTAATAATAAAATAAATTCATTTAAAGGTGAACTAAATCCTGAAGAGACAAATGATAAAATACTTGCTATCTTGCTTTTGGAAAAGTAGCAAGTCTAATATAAAGGGTAAAACTAAAACAAGGTTATAATCACAAATACCTCCTCTGTGCTGTTTTAACCTTGGATGAGCACAGTTAATGTTAATAATAGACAGAGCAAAACTTTACTGTCCTAATTTATATTGCTATTCCAAACAGCAGTGATCTACATGAAATCTACAAAACAAGATGAAAGCAAAACCCTTACAAAAGCTTCAAGGAAGTTCAGCTGGTTGATAAAGCAGCAACTGATGGGGAAGAAGGAATTTATACCCATTTATTATGCTCTTAATTTGCCAGCTTTGTTTGGATAGGTCAAAAGAAGCATACAAGAAAATGTCAATGCCACAGGGAAAAACATGCATTATGTAGATGTCATGTTAACTGTTTGGGGTATCCAAGTGTTCTCTTTCTTTCTTCAATTCCTTGACCCAAACCCACCCTTTTCCAAGATTTATCCTCTGAATCAATACACTCAAATGTAACCAAGTTTTACGTATACTCAGTAACATCACCTGCCTAATCTTTCTTTCTTATGTTTATCTGCCCAGCTGTTCCTTAGTTGTTTCCCCACAGCCAATCCTTGAGTTACCTATGCAACTCTACACTATAATGCTATAGTAAATAAACTCAAAACCTATATGTTCCTAGTGCTTTTTATTGATGTAGAAATGTGACACAATTATACATTAATAGATATACACCATGTATTTCAGTCTCAGATGTCTCTTAAAAACCAAAAATAATCTGTTTTTTTAAAAAAACCTGTTTCGCGAACATAAATCAGAGAATCAGTGATAGAAATGAAGGCTCTTGTCCTTTTAGGATATATATTGTTTTTCTGATTCTTCAAACAAGATGTTAAAAAGATCTTGTAATAGTTTTCTGCAGAGTAAAACCAATGTATTTTAATACATTGCATAGAATTCAGATTTATATGTTTATATCCCTTCATAGGACTCTGGATTTTAAACTTGAACGATCTATTGGTTTTTCCACAAGTACTTACGACTTATAATAGGTAATATTATAGCCCCCTGACATGAGTCTCTAAGGGCAAAATGATTTTTCCTGTAACTGTAGCTCTTCAAATGGATCTGTGCGTGACCCTTCATTTAGGAACATTCTAAAGCTGAGCTTTGTAAGGGGACTCCACCCACTCTAGCACACGCCTTCACCAAGTAATGTAAAGTACGTCAGTTCCAATACCAACACAGTATTACAGTATCACCAAAAGGAGTAAAAGAAGAGGTTACTGAAGAAGGGCTTGAATAACCACAATTACAAGTAAACAATTTATAATTCTTTGTGGTTTCTAAGCATTCCATATATGAATGGAATAGTACATTCAGAAACTGACAGATTTACATCCTCACCACCTGGACATCTCTCAGTTAAGAGAACAGCCTTCTTGCCAAAGACTGAAAAAGTCCCCACCTTAATTGGCTGAGAATAAATGAGGTTCTAAAGCAATAGCAATCTAGTTGCTGAGATGTCGGTAATCTTTTCATATTCTCTTTCAATAAATTGTGTTAAAAGAATCTCTGGGACAATCTTGCTTTTAGCTGAAGTGGGCTTCCAGGAGCCTGACAATAAAGAACATTGCGGTTTACATAGAACGCAAGACTGCAGCAAACATCTAGACAATGAAGTATCTGCTGCATATCATCTGAGAGAAGGAAATCAGAAGAATTATGACCTGAGCCAGATGGAAATCAGTCACTGCCTTTGGCAGGAAAGAGGCATCTGGTCAGAACTTTGTCTCTAAGTTGGATGAAGTAAGTTAGATCAGTGTGAAAAATACAAAAGTTCACTGATGTGACATAAAGAATTAACTGTTGCAAGAAGAAACGCTTCAATAGTAAGCAACATTAAAAAAAAATAGTTGTCATAATTTCAAACAGTTTAGAACTCAAGTGGGGGTAAAAAAAATAATGAAAGTCCAAGAATGAATTTACTGCCAAACAGGGATATAGGTTCTCTAAAGCAAGCCAATATTTCTAAACCAAAAAGGTGGGGAAAATCTTACTGTTTCTGGATAAGAAAATGAAAAGCAGAAATTGTTACTATGTAGACTGAAAGAAGATAAACTCTGTGTTTCAGAGACAAAAGTTGTAGAAGGACATAAACAGAGCAGTTGAATGGGCTTCCATGGAAAGGCGAGATAACCATTAGAAAAATAGCTCACTTAGCCTTATAAGAACAGCAGTGATCTTCTTAGAGGCATCCATTCTGCTTGTGTATCAGGCATAACTACATAATTAAGAGGAAAACTCTAGGCTGTTAGATACAGGATCTGGACACTATCTCCCAACAGGAAGTCATTGTGAAAGGAGAGAGGGTGAAAACATTTGCTTGCCATCTGAATGAAACTGGTGAATCATATGTCATAAAGATGCACTGAGGCTGTTCAGAACAAATCTTGACAATAATTTGGTAAGCCAAAAAATAGGGATGGGAAGCACACACAAAAAAAGTTCCCATTTACAGTTCTGTGAAAAATTATTTGCATCCTCCCAGATTTTCTGAGTTTTATATATCTTTGCAGTGAACACTGTCAGAGTTGTATGTGGAACTACTGATACATAAATAGAATGTACTAGACAACCCTGTGACCAGTTGGGTCATCCTTTGAGCGGAAGGTAGTACAGTCTGATGTGACCAGAATGTACATTAAATTTTTGGCTGACCATTTTTTTTTTTATCCCAATGCTGGACAGTTCTATGATCATCTAAGAAGAGTATATATCATAAACAGAAAAATAATTGTAGTGGAAAACAAATTTCAATAATAAGTCAATATTTACTTACCTAAACAGATAAAAAGAATGACCACAGGCAGGCAAAAAAGCAGTAGGAGCAGGAGTGACTTCCGACTTCCTGCTGGCTTCCCCATTGACTTTGCTTGTGGGAAGCTGGCAGGGAGCACCAGATATCCTGATCATGTGACTGCAGGGACATGCAATAGCCACAACTTTGCAAATAAAAGTGGTCCAAACATCATGAAAATTTCAATTCCACAGGAGTAATGGGCTCTGGATTTTTTACTTATTTGTTAAGTTAGCAGATTTAGGTACCTTGATTCACAAATTGTTGTGGCATAATGCAACATTTGGGTGAACTTGAAGATAAACAGGCAAACAGATAAACACAATGAGAATTTTAGTAGTATATAGACGAACAAAAAACACCAAAGTTTTGTGCTTATTTCATTTATTTCATAGAAAGCCATTCAACATGTGATGAATCATTGTAAAACAATTACTCCTGCCTTCAGTTTGATACTTTCAGGCTGATTTGGCTCAGCATTGCCCAGCATAAATCTCATACACTTTGGCCCCTCGTCCCAGAGAAGTTCCCACCATACAGATTCTATATCCACATGATGCCTCACTTAAAACAA